ACCACTATGCCAAATTCAATACCAATTCCTGCCTTTGTATTAACCTAGTTGATTAGTTGATTTGTAGTACCTAACCATGTTCTGATAGGAGTCGGAAATATTTATTTTCTGTCCATTAACCTGGATTCCTGTAAATCTGTTTCCTATGTGTCCACATTTCTATCATCCTTCCCAGCCCCTTATTACTGTCCCAGCAGATGTGAAAAGTTTAATGATAGCTTGAAAAATCTATGCAAGGGTTAAACAACTGAATGAACTGTATTTGTTTTTTTATTTCCCTTAATAACTTGTTTTCTTATGGTAGATCTCACTCCTCTTGTCAATGGGAGCTCCTTGCCATGTCGTCAAGGGAAACCTCCAAAAATTACACATCGTTCCACAAACTGGGATGAAGGCCCATGTTTTTTTACAGGGTAAACAACAGTGCCAATAATAACTTTAGTTTGACAAAATATTTCTTCCTAAAAGCTGATCAAACAGTTTACAACCTTAAAGAATTGCTGCTTTTGAAATCTGATTGGCTGCAGTAAAATAAATTGAAGTTCTCAATGTTTTAATCATTTTATTGTGCTTTGTTGTAGTATTTCTGGATTTTCTCCTGGTTTTGATGCCTCTCCCATCCTCATCCTCCTGCTGATAGTGATGCTTATGCTGTGATGATATACCGTGGACCTTTGATTCGAAAATTCTGCTTTTAGAACAAGAGTTTCTATGCTTCTATGTATTGTTTGTTTAAAAATAAGAGTAAAAGCAGTGGCGGTGGGTGGAGTTTTCTCCAGGGGGGGCTATGACTTCAAAATAAGCGTATACCAAAAACCAGTCAAATGTATACAAAGGCATCTCCTACGATGAAAAAACAACATTATAACATTTTCTGAAAAGTGCTTTAAATCACTCATGCTTGTCTTTATACATGCTGGGATTCTGACATTTGAAAAAGGAGGCAGGGAAAATAGAATAAAGCGTTAGCCTCCTGCATACATTGAGCCAGGCCTTGTTGCCAAATAATTCTATAAGTCTATGGGCAATGATTTTTGCTCCTCAGGGCAGAAATACGTCACCAATCCGACAATGAACGAAACAGCTTTACTCATCATTAAAAAGAAAATATTTACTGGCACATCTTAGAAATATATGAATATATTTAGAAATATTTCAGTTTCATAATTTAATTTTTTCATTGGGATTTTTTATGTAATGATAAGGATTATTGGGTGAATGGGGTGGCGCTAGTGCCCCCTATTGCCCAGCTCCCAGTTATTAAAAGGGAACACTGTACAGCAGACAAACTGTTAAGCATAGAAATAAATTTTTCTTTGATATATATGTATATATACATCTCTTTAAAATATTAGAGTATGGATAAACAAACTTTTGTTTTTTCATTAAGGAAGGCTCAAAGTTCTATAATTTTCCTGGAATTGTATTTTTAATTTGTGCTTACCTGTATGCTGCCATTTGCCTTTAGCTTTGTCATTGATGCACCAGAATTTTCCCACTGTGGGATAATAAACTATTTTGCTATTCTGTATTTCTGTTCTTTCCTATGGGTATCTGGGGTTGGTGTCTTAATAAATTAAATAAGAGTAAAGAGAGCTAAATAAAAAGACCAAAACAAATGTGCTACCTTCTCTGCATGAACAGTTCTCAAACTGTCACAACTCTTTAATCAATGTCTCTTTTGCTGAGCATCATCGTACAGTCTTGCCAGAAAGGCTGACAACGTTATCTGAGGTTGGAAATTACAGAGCAGAGAGAAAATACACAAACATTAAAGGATTAAAGGAGAGATAAGTAAAAATATGTACCATACAATTAATCAAAATTAGTCTAATTCATCACCCAGTATGGGAGCAAGATTCATCCAATTGGGGCAAATTGGTGAGGACACGCCAAGTGGAAGTGCATCAGCAGGTGCTATGATAAGTGTTGTCCTAATGGGCCAAACAGTAAGGAAGTAGGGAGGGGAAAAAACAGGACGCTTTCTATCTATCAGTCCTTCAGCATAGAAACCTTGCAATGTTCCTTTTTGTTGCATAAGAATTGTGCAGTTGCCCCCAATTCTTTGCATGACATAAAGGCACAACTGGGCTCATGGAGTAAAACAAAAATACATTATTTATGTATGCTCACAGTCGTAGCTTTTGGGCTTTATAATGGGGAGCTTCAGCCATTCGCTGCATACAGTATATATAACTTGTTTTTAGTTTTCATTTTTGGATGATATCAGTCCTGGTTTTTTGCTTGTATCATTCATCCGTCCAGTAATTACATCCATAAGGCAAAGGCTATCTAGGTTTAGCACAGCAGTCCTAAGTTCCTTTTCTGCCTATGACTGTATTCTTACTGTTGGCAAAAGGTGATGCAATGGAGCTAGGACAGACTCCCTATATTCTGGGCTCTGGGTGTGGTGTCCTAGACCTTTTAGGTTTGTCTCCGTTTACACATCTTTATTTTCACCCCTAAACCCGGGGGTTCCACTGAAAGCGTAGGCGTAGGAAGAGTCAACGCCACGGAACATCCAGGCCGTGGATTCTCTAAAGCAGCTGCAGAAAACATATTAGCTTATAGGGATGATTAACAAATATACAATCAAGACATTTTATTTCACCTTTCAAATGTACCATTGTTTTAAGAACTGTGAACTTGTGAACTTTAAGACTGCACAAAGTTTGCTACCAGTCTGAGGGATAGCTTAGGTCTTAAAGAAAACCATGCATACAGATTCAGCTACTAATGTTTGTAGCTGCAGACCAAGAAAGAATAACATAACTCCCTCTGGCTCCAAGATACTTGTGAAGGAAAGTTCTTCATCCAGAGGGAGGCTCCAGGCTGGTCAAGGTGTCTATTGTGGGAACAAACTAATGAGTATACAATGTATATCTTTAAAAAAGATAAGGTGACTTAAAGTTATTCAGGCTGCTTCTTAAACGCTTAGGGAAAGGTTTGCGATGCTGTCTCCCTTGGATTTCCATTAAAAATAAATGTTTAAATTTCTCTCTATCAACGAAGTTATTCCTGGGGAAGTGATGTAGGAACAGAATATCCTCTTATTTCACCTTAAAGGTATTGTGGAGGATGGAGCAAATCTGTTTTTAGATTCATCACTAGTTCCTTTTAGAAAGCAAAAAAGACAAAACATTTCTATATTTTGTATAGAGGATTTATATACTGCATAATTATCTAGGAATACACATTTGCTTTAAGGTATAGTGGAGGATTTTCACGAATCTTTGAGAAGACCCGCCCTCTCCACTTATAAAAAAAAGCACATAAACCTTGTACACTCTCCTGAGAAGGAACGCCTATTAAACGTGTGCGAGAGCGTGCACGAGCCCATTTCTCCTTGTGCACGCTCCGTTTAAAAGTTGCTGTTTGCATCGCTCATACAAGCTTACTTTAACAGATTTAACAGGAATGTCTTCATAGGAAAACTGATATGCTTTTTAAATGTGGTATCAGAACCAGGAATATTAAATATGCTGTTGAAATTGTATTTTTTTTTCTCATTTTTCTGTTGACCATGACAAACTTCAGTACACAAAGTTCATCCTTCAGATGATATATTGCCTATGCATTAAAAACAATATATTTTGTGTATTTACAGTGAGGTTTAAAATTTTGTTTTTCAGTCCAAAGGAAATCAACTCTGGCACCATGAAGCATTTACTAAGTGCAATGAAACAGGAGTGTCTGCTTTGATCAAATCCACACTAACTGTTGTAAACATACGGGAGGTCTTGTAAAAGACATTGCAAAAAGCTGATTTTTATATATAAAGTATTAGTGATCCTTGAAAAATAAACAATGTGTCCCTTCTCTGAATGTTGAGTAGTTGCTTAGATCTACCAAAGTTTTTCAGTTAGTTTGACAAAGTTAAGAAAAAATCAAATGCTTTGGACTGAAACCAGACCTAGAGCGTGTCACCTTTCTAGATCTTTTAAAAGGGGTCTGATCTAATTCAGCCCAATAGTGAGATTCGATTCAGCAGTCTGAACAGCCAGTAAAACTTATCCATGTCTATGGGACCTTGCCTGAGGTCAAGGCAAGGTCCCAAAGACAGGATTCTGAGCTACTGTCTCTGCAACTTACCAAGCCAAGGTCATGAAGTTAATTTAGTAACTGACAGTCAAAGATGAATATATTTAGATCTGAATAGAAAAGCTGATTTTTATAAATTGGAGGACTAGACAGATACCTTTGACAATAGAGTGTATTTGTTCTCTAACTGTAATATATCAAATTGTGTTATTGTAAATGCATACAACCTTATCAATTACGGGGTTCATCATGCATTTTTACATTCCTTAACTTTCTATAGCTTTTTCTATAGTTTAGTTGCTGGAGATGTTTAACATCTAGGATGTTTTATCAGGTTCTGATGAGTAAGCTTCCATAATGCCTCTAAAACCTGCTTTCTGTGAGCTGCATATATTCACAGTATGGTTGCAAATGAGTTTTCCCAGGGTTTTGACACAGTTACAAGACAGTATTTCCTGCCATGAATCAGTCAAGGAATAATCAAAAGTTTCTCAAACTCAAAATTAAATTTTTTTAGACTTTTTATTTAACTTTTAGAAGATAAAAAGAAAAAAAAGCATCTTTAAAATTTGACAGCTGGGACTTTTCAATCAAATCAATCCAGTATCCTGTGTTACAGTAGATATAGAAAAAGGTCGAACTAACTGTAAAATATTTAACTGCTTGGTAGCTAAACTTCGCCTTAATTAATGGAAACACCCAAGATCCAGCTTTTACTAGAAAAACAAACAAAAAACTCATCAGGTGTAGAAAACGTAATCACATTTATTTCAATCCATACATGACGATATATTATGTCTTACTGTACCACTTACTTTAATTTTCACATCACGTGATCTCATGCATCAACCTGAAGCCCATCGATAAACATTCTAGCCTCCAATTCACCACACATGAAAGACATTTGTGCTACAGTATGTAGGCATGGCTTGACCAGTCCTGGCTCCTTGGTAGTACTCTTTTTTTCTCCCCATCAGCCCCAGAAATCACAGTAGTAAAAGAGTCTTTGAATCCAATTCCTAAAACGTAGTTCAGCTTCCTGTGTGTCTCTGTGCCAGTCCAAGCCGTGGTCTGTAGGTGGTTCCAGTCGCCCCATCCACCTTTACCCAATAGTGACTCCAAAGCCACATTGGAACTTGTTTTTGCGATGGTTGAGGAAAGCCCCCAAAGCCAAAGTAAGAGGCAGAGGTACTAGTTTCTTTTCAATGGTTGCCCCTACCACCCAATTACTGTCAATCGTTCCTGAAGGGAAAACAGAAGGGCATTGAGAAAGAGTTCAGTCTTTCATCTATGACTCAGGATGGATGAAACTGAAGGCTTCATATTTACCTTTAAAAAGCAAATTGGCTTTGGGAAGGTCCAGTTGGTAACCAAAAGATGCTGAAGTGTCTTGCATCCTTGTGCTGGCTTCAAATTCAACTCCTACCTGTAACTGTTTCACAACAAACTTTTTTCGAAAGATATGGCCTTCAATTATCTCTAATTACTGAAACATGTTGTAGAACTTAAAGTTATATGAAAATTGCAGCCGACTTTTTGTTTCAAGAAACGTTCTGACGCTTTAGCAAGCCCTAAGATGCAGTCAGGTGCAAATGAAGTTCTCCTGGACGCGCTCCAGCAATTAAAGTCCGAAATGGTGCGTCATTTTGATGCAAGAATGGACACTATCCAGAGTAACTTGGAAACAATAAAGCTCTCGCTTTCAAATTTAGGAGAGCATGTCTCGCAGCTTGAGCAGAGAGTTAGCAGCAACGAGGACAACATCTCTGATTATGGGAAACGAATGGAAGTATTAGAAAAGGAAAACGCATACCTGCGCGCCAAGCTGGATGATATCGAAAACCGAAGCCGGGCTTACAATCTTCGCTTTGTCCACGTTCCGGAAAAATCGGAGGGAAAGGATACTCGTGGATTTATCTCCAACCTGATTGTTCACCTCTTCGGGAGTGAAAACTTCCCTACACCCCCGGCCATTGAGAAGGCCCATCGCTCCCCTGCGCAACAGCAACCCAAGGTGAAGGCGCAGCGCTCCGAGGCGCAGCAAGCAAAGAAGGGGGCAAATCGCCATCCAACACAGCAAACACAGGACAACGTCAAGCCAAGAGTGATCATGGTGAGATTTCTCAGTCTTCAGGACAGAGAGAAAGTCCTTCGACTGGCCAGAGAAAAGCAGCAACTTGTCTACAATGGTGAGCGGATTCATATATTTCCCGACTTCAGTGCGGCTGTGATCAACAAACGGCGTGAATTCGATGACATTAAAAAACAGCTTAAGCAACGTAAACTGGACTATCACATGACTTTCCCTGCTATACTTGTAGTCGATATCAACGGGAAACCTGTGCAGTTTAAAACACCCAACGCTGCGCTTCAGTTTCTGCAGGAAATTGGAAATGCTGACTGACTCAACTTTGAGTTTAGCCTATTGTATATGAGTTCAGAAGATGCTGCAATTGTTTCATACCTTTTTTCCCCTTCTTCTGTTTCTTTTCTTTTTCTTTTTTCTTTTTTTTTTTTTTCCTTTGAAGGCAATGAATGATATGGAAAACTGAATACTCGTGAAAGACACTCCTTAATTGTCCCTTTGCTCAAAACTGAGATACTTTGCATTTGGTATGATAAGCAGCCCTCTGTTGACATATAGGCCTATTATTGGATTGCACATTTATGTGCTGTTTTGGTGCGCCCTACAACGGGCCTTTCTCTGTTTTAGTTATGATAGATGCTGCCTTTTGTGGACTTAATGGGAAATTAAGAAGTAAAAGAATAATCATAATATTTTGTGTATGCTGGCAGATAGTCTACTTTCTTTTTCGGTCAAGGCTATATATGTGTGTTTGTGTGTGTGTGGTGAGATGTGTGTGTATGTGTGTGTTGCTCTTCAATCCTACGCTGTGTCCTGCTCTCTCTTATTTGGTTCTATTTGAATATGGGTAAAGGTTTATTTATCATTCACTTAAATATCAGGAGCTTACCTCACAAAATTGATCTCCTAAGAGCTTGGCTTTCTTATAACAAACCTGCTGTCATTACTGTTTCTGAAACTTGGTTACAAAATAAAATATGTGATGCTGAAATAAGCCTAGAGGGTTACACCCTATATCGAGCAGATAGAGGCAGTCGTGGTGGAGGTGTTGCTACCTATATATCTTCTACTTTGACCTCAGAGGTTGTTAGTCCAAATGAAAGCCCATTGCACTTTGAGTGCCTCTTTGTGAGACTACGTTTTGATCATAAACAACTGATTATTGGTAATATCTACAGGCCTCCTAACTCTCCTTCCGAATCTATTAATAATATTCTTGCCACTATTAATTCACTTAATTGTTCTGATGAACTTATTGTTCTGGGTGATTTCAACCGAAACTGGCTCGACAGGTCTTCAGCTAAGGAGAAGAGTTTATTGGAAAGCCTGCATCTCACTCAGATAATACAGGAACCCACAAGAGTGGCTGGGAGTTCCAGATCTCTCTTAGACTGGATCTTGGTCACTCATCCCAACAGAATAGCTGATTCTGGTATTTTATCAGATTGCTTCAGTGACCACTCGGTTATCTTCTGTGTATGGAAAATAAGATTGCCACGATTGCCATCTAAAATAATTAAAGTAAGACAACATAAAAACTTTTCTGAAGATTCCTTTATTAATGATTTGCTAAATATCAATTGGTCTAGGTTAGAACTTATTCCTTATGTTGGGGATGCTTGGACTTTTTTTCATACTGAGGTACACAATGTGATTGACAAGCATGCACCATGGGTATCGGTGAAAGTCAAGGGTAGGCATCTACCATGGATTGATGGTGACCTGTTGCATCTTTTTAAGGAAAGGGATAAGGCCTGGAAGCGTTACCAATCAACAAAAGCTATGGTTGATGGGATCGAATATAAGAGATTACGTAATATCTGTACTGTGAAAACAAGGAATGCAAAGTCAAATTACTATAAGACAGCATTGTCTAATGACTTCACTAGTCCAAAACAATTTTGGAAAAAACTTAACAGCTTATTGAATAAACCTGCTGTGAATTCTCCTCTATCGCTTCGTGTAAATGATAAAATTAGTAGTGACCCTGCTACTGTGGCTGATGCATTTAACCAACATTTTTCCTCTGTAAGCAAATTATGCCCATCTAATCTATTCCATTCCAATCTTGTAAATTCACCAGTAGCCAATACTTCTTTTACACTAACTACAATAACTCCTACTGAAGTGCAACAGGCTATCTCTGATACTAAATCTGGTAGTGCTGGTCCTGATGGTCTGGAAATTAAGTTTATTAAGATTGCATCTCACATCCTGGCATTTCCACTATGCTATCTATTTAATTTATCCATATCCACATCTGAAGTTCCAGCCATGTGGAAGTATGCTAGAGTAACACCTATACATAAAAGTGGTGATCCACTTGACCCAAATAACTATAGACCAATTTCGATTATTAATACTGTGGCAAAAATATTTGAAAAAATTATTTTTAAGCGATTGTTTAAATATGTCAATGACTTCTCTGTCCTTTCTGAGATGCAATCAGGTTTCAGACCAAACTACTCTACCACTACTGCCCTCACAAAGTTTGTCAATGATGTTACATCCTCTTTAGACAATAACATGCCTACTGGAGCAATATTTATAGATCTCACCAAGGCTTTTGATTTGGTCAATCACTATTTACTTCTTGACAAACTGCATGGTATCGGTCTGTGTAAGCAGTCACTTTTTTGGTTTAATTCTTATCTTCATTTAAGACGTCAGTCGGTGGCTTTCAATGGCTGTCTTTCTCAGTACACAGTTATGGAAAATGGGGTTCCGCAAGGTTCATGCTTAGGCCCTCTGTTGTTCTCTATATTCATAAATGACCTTCCAAAAGTATGCTCAAACTGTAATATCCTGCTGTATGCTGACGATACAGTTATTTACTCTGCTCAACCTGACATTAGTTTGATTGAGTCTTCATTGCAATCAGACTTTGATGATATTCAGAAGTGGTTTACAGCGAATGGGCTCATACTTAATAAGACTAAGTCTTACAGTATGCTTTTTGACAACAGGACAACCCGTTTTAAGCAAGATCATACTCTGTCAATAAGGTTTCTGGATGATACTCTTATGGAGAATGTGGAAGAATTTAAATATTTGGGCCTACTGCTTGACTCCAATCTTTCCTTCAAGTCACATATTGACTCCGTTGTCAAGAAAATTAATTTCAATCTTAGACTCTTATATCGCTCTATAAATTGTTTCACTCAACAGATCAGACTACGAATTGTAACACAGCTTTTATTTCCAATCCTTGATTACGCTGACATTGTGTATATGAATACAACAGAATCACACCTTAAATCTCTAAATGTTGTTTTCAACAGTCTCTGTCGATTTGTGTTGAGATGCCCATACCTTACCCACCATTGTCACATGTATCAGCAACTTAACCTTTTATCACCTAAGACTAGACGGCAGTTACACTGGTTTCAGTTTATTTATAAATGTTTTTTCTTTAATTATCCATCCTATTTACAAAACCATTTGAATCCATATAGGTCTACTTATGGACTTAGACATCTTGATCATTTGTTCTTTTCTGTTCCAAGAATATCTAAAGAAATAGGAAGACGTGCCTTCAGATTTAAAGCCCCTTCTGACTGGAATAGCTTACCCAGATCACTGAGATCAATTTCATCTTTTCCTCACTTTAAATCATCCTTATTAAGTTTTCTGCATTCAAGAGACCAGTGCACCTGCTTTCCTGGCCGTGGTCCTTAAAACAAAACAAAAAGTTATGTACCTGCTGCTGTACCTATATTCATGTGTGCGGTTGTGCATATATACATGCTTATTTTTCCTTCTTATCTTTTTTATTTATTTAACTGATTTTCCAATTGTGGGTTTTCTCCTGAGTACTTTACTTGTATTTTATTCTTATTTTATTTCTGCTTAGTGTTCTATATATATAGATACATATATTTTCTATTTGTTTGTTTACCTGCATAAATATATTTGTGTAGAGATGTTGGACTGTTTAGCTTGTAGTGATGAAGAGCTTTGGTATGGATGTGTGACTGTGTGTATTGTTTGTCTCTGTTGTTCTTGGGACCCCCTCGAAAACGAGATGGATCATCTCAAGGGGCTATCCCTTAATAAAAGAATTGAATTGAATTTAACTGCTTGGTAGCTAAACTTCGCCTTAATTAATGGAAACACCCAAGATCCAGCTTTTACTAGAAAAACAAACAAAAAACTCATCAGGTGTAGAAAACTTAATCACATTTATTTCAATCCATACATGACGATATATTATGTCTTACTGTACCACTTACTTTAATTTTCACATCACGTGATCTCATGCATCAACCTGAAGCCCATCGATAAACATTCTAGCCTCCAATTCACCACACATGAAAGACATTTGTGCTACAGTATGTAGGCATGGCTTGACCAGTCCTGGC